CAAAGCAGCTTTCACTGTCAACTCCAGTGGTGCCCTCTAAACAACCTGAATTGCCGGCAAAAAGTATAAAGTCAACACTTGCTAGACAAAACCACGCTGCGCTAACTCTCGTGTGCACCAATGTTCCCGAATCCATATCTGGAACAATAAAAGGCAAGTTGCAAGACGATCGCAACCAGTGGAGTTCCATCTGCGAGGCGATTGGCATTCGGGTTGAGCCTGCAACGCTGCAACGCGTAGCACGTCACCCGACCTCAGTGCACTCTGGTAAACCTCGAATTCTTCGAGGAACACTAAACTCAGCAGATGAGGACAGAGGCTGTCCTGCTCTCAGCAGTTCGTCTTCGCAACTCACCGAGCGGAGTGCGCATATTACCTGATCTACCTTGGAAAGACCGCGCAAAAGAAGCAGTGGAGCAACGCGGTATTGCTACTAGGGATAGCAGAAGAAAACAATATTTGTTCATGGTGTTCCCGAGCGCCTGCATGTTTTTGATCACGACGCACAAACTCATGACCGAGAGCAGTGGTGCTACATCCGCGAAGCACTCTCTGTTAACAATGTTATTGCCAAATCCTTAACAAGATTTCCGTTATCATCTAACTACAAGGGCTGCGGTCCAAGTTAATGAAGGTAATACTACACTCCGAGGGAATGACGCAAGTTCTGTTGGAAAGCTGGCTAAAGTTTCGAGCTAGGTTGCCAACAGTAATGCGGCTAAAGGTAGCGGGCGAACGACCAAAATTCGGAAGAAATTCGATGGAACTTGCAAAACCCTGCAAATTCTTTATTTGCACAGTCCTTCGGAGAGACCGACACAACAGCGCCCACGTCACACAGGAGGACCGAGCACAGCACGAGTGAACCATCAGTTCAGGAACGCTCAATAATGTCATGTAACACGACTGAAATACACAAACCAAAAAACGATTAATTGCCGGCCACCTAACGGCCGGCTTGAAAACGAACACAAACTTGACATCCACCAATGAACTCCTAACCACAAAAGCCCTATCTTGCATGTACACAAACGCTCAAGGCCTTCGAAGCAAGTTGGCCGAACTTAGAGAACTCCATGCCTCACAACTGCGGGACCTCGTCATGATTACAGAGACATGGTTAAACCCTGAGATAACCGACTGTGAGATCAAGTTACCCGGTATGCCGCTGCTTCGGACCGATAGAACCGGAATGGGTGGGCGGTGTGATTCTTTACTATAATACAAGCCTCCGATGTGAAGTTATCGATCACCCGGAAATCCGAGCTCCCGATTCGCTTTGGTGCCGCCTTTGGTTGCGAAACAAGGACACATGTCTACTAGCCGTGGTTTATCGCCCGCCAAACTCAACGTCGGAAATGGACTCCAAACTGTACCACGTTTTTCAGTTTGCTTTGAACAAGTCCTACACCCACATTCTTATCGCGGGAGACTTTAACGTGCACGACATAGAAACGCCGGCAACTGACGGTACGCAGTTTAAAGCCTGTTTGCAAGAACTTATTGCTAGCCACCCTCTTTACAACCACGTAACCTCTCCCACCAGATTTCGAACTTCTAACAAGCCGTCGATACTGGATCTTGTGCTAACTAGCGAAGAACTCATGGTTGGCGGGATAGTTACAAGCACACCACTGGGTCGTAGTGATCATGGCACTCTACTTTTTGGTTATATATGCTATGCCGAGTACCCGGAAAAGGAGGAGAATAAAGTGCACACTGTCACGCACTACAATGTGTTGTCCAAGCTTGTTAAGGATACATCTTGGACTTCTTTAATCGAATGCTCCCAGATCTGGCCTGGGATATGTTTACAAGGACTTTGAGCACACTGGTAGCGCAAGCATCGGAACAGAAGTCCTTCCAACCCAAAAACTAGAGTAAGTCATTTCTGAGGAGCAGAACACGTAAATGTATGTCCCGGAGGGATTTGGCATGGCAGGATCACCAGGACTGCCCGAATGCCGAAACCTGGACTGCATACGTGACACATCGTAACTTCTGTGTGAAACTGATCCGCGAAGACAAGGTCACGCATCAGCAGAAGTTAATGAAGCGATTCTGCACTAACCACAAACTCCTGTACAGGCACATTAACGGCCTTCGAAAGGTAAAGCGAGGGGTTCCGGCG